AGCGTTCCAAACAGAAAAATGCAAATATCTCGGTTCCTATGGGTCGCAGAGCAAAATCCTTGAAATCTGGACCCCCCCTAGACTCTTAACCCCCGGCCTGGAATACGATTCTCCATCATTTCCAACAAAAAATAAAAAAAAAAAATTTTCAAAAAAATTTTTAAAAAAATTTTTTTAAAAATTTTCGAAAAAAAATTTTCAAAAAAATTTCCAAAAAAAAAAATTTGGACCTCCCCAAGACTTTTCACCCCCGCCTGGAAAACGGTTCTCCATCATTTGAACCCTACTGGAGCCCGAAATATGCGCTTTTATGTTTTCCAGCGTTCCAAACAGAAAAATGCAAATATCTCGGTTCCTATGGGTCGCAGAGCAAAATCCTTGAAATCTGGACCCCCCCTAGACTCTTAACCCCCAGCCTGGAATACGATTCTCCATCATTTCCAACAAAAAATTTTCAAAAAAAATTTTCAAAAAAATTTTCAAAAAAATGTTCAAAAAAATTTTCAAAAAAATTTTCGAAAAAAAATTTTCAAAAAAATTTTCAAAAAAAAAATTTGGACCTCCCCTGGACTCTTCACCCCCGCCTGGAAAATGATTCTCCATCATTTGAAACCAGCTGGAACCCGAAATATGCGCTTTTATGTTTTCCAGCGTTCCAAACAGAAAAATGCGAATATCTCGGCTCCTATGGGTCGTAGAGCAAAATCCTTGAAATTTGGACCCCCCCTAGACTCTTCACCCCCGCCTGGAATACGATTCTCCATCATTTCCAACAAAAAATTTTCCAAAAAAATTTTCAATAATTTTCAAAAAATTTTCAAAAAAATTTTCAGTTGAGGTTATTTTGGGACTTTGGGGACTTACACTGAGATTTTAGCACGTCTCAAAATAGCTTTGAATTATTCGAGTGCATATTCTAATAATAATATAATTCGATATAGTTCTGAAACAAATCATCTCAAAATATCTTTCAAATGTTTTCAGTGTAATCGACGGATGTTCACCCCTGTGAGACTGTGGAATATTCAAATACATAATGGCACTGCTGGAATTGCTGCCCGGCTCCACCTCGAAAGACCGAAGGGTGAAAATAAAATACTGAAGAGGGAAATAAAAAACACAAACACATTTTGGACCTACTATTTATTCAGCAGGTCAATCCGATCATCCATAAATGCCAATTGCCAGCCGAAATAGAAGAGGTGGAATCCCTTATTCCTGGAAATGGTGGCATACCTAGACTGAAAAAATGGATAGTGAAAAATTGCATACTCTCGAAGCATCACGCAACGACGAGATTGTTTATGAAGAGCTCGGCGAGCATAAAATACGAGATTGAGAGGCACTTGAGGCATTTCATCTGCGTTTTCCACCCTTTTAGTCGAGTGACGATCCTCTGGAGCACCTTCATCACGTTCTACACCCTGATCTGCCTGATTTTCGTGCCATTCCTCCTGACGTTCTACTTCCAGCGCCAAGACGACTGGATATATCTACTTCTTATAATAAATCTCGTCTTTTCAATGGACATTATCATCAATTTCTTCACAGGATACGTCGACACCACCACTGGAGCAGTACTCCTGGAGAAGAAGTGCATCAGCCAGTGAGTTACTTCACCTGACTGTCTTAATAAAATAATGTTTATACCGTATTTATGTAAAAATCCAATGGAGAAATTTCATCTGTCAGAAATTCTCTAGGATTTAACCAATTCTGTGTAATGACGTCAGTACAATAAATAATTAATTCATCATAATTAAACGGCTAAATAATTACCCCTACCATCCTCCACATAATAATAATAATAATAATAATAATGATGAAGTTAAAAAATTCGAAATTTTTGAAAAAGTATCAGGAGAACATAAACGCCGAACAGCTATTCACTGAAATCGGAAAATTCGAATTTTTTGAAAAAGTATCAGGAGAACATAAACGCCGAAGAGGTATTCACTGAAATCGCGAAAAATCGAATTTTTTGAAAAAGTATCAGGAGAACATAAACGCCGAAGAGGTATTCACTGAAATCGGGAAAATTCCAATTTTTTGAAAAAGTATCAGGAGAACATAAACGCCGAAGAGGTATTCACTGAATTCGGGAAAATTCCAATTTTTTGAAAAAGTATCAGGAGAACATAAACGCCGAAAGGCTATTCACTGAAATCGGGAAAATTCGAATTTTTTGAAAAAGTATCAGGAGAACATAAACGCCGAAGAGGTATTCACTGAAATTGGAAAATTCGAATTTTTTGAAAAAGTATCAGGGTAACATGAACACCGAGGAGATATTATTATTATAATAATTATTGTTGTTATTGTTATCATTATTAGGCAATATTTGACGACCTCTTTTTTACTGGATTTTTTCTCTGGATTTCCATTTGAGTTGGTCTACGTAATCTCCAGCTGTTGCACAATCCGAAGTGATATTCATTGGTACTGGACTGGATTGAATATGTTGAAAATAATCAGGATTAGGAATTTACTGGAGTCTACTGGACAATTATGTCATGTAAGGTGAAATAAACAAATAAAAAAAGGCGAAATGAAGATAAATTCATTTATTTATTCCAGGTGTACAAAATGTCACTTCAAAACACAAAAATAATTGGAATGCTAATAATTGCCATCATAACTTTCCACTGGGCGACGTGCCTGGAGTTGTACATACCGCTGGCAGCTGGAAGAGTAACCTGGGAGCACGACACATCTCGGTGAGGGATGAAAAATAATTCTGTAGATTTTCGGAGTCCGAACTGGTGTTTTTCCCGAGATATCAGCGGTGCACTCTGAAAATTACAATTACAAAATTAGTCAAATGAAAAAAGGTCAAGTTTTTTTTTATTGCATTATTTTTTATTCGTACCTGTTGTGAAAAGATCGTGGCTATCCTCCGATTACATGAAGAAGAGGGACACAATCCTGAAGAGGTACATAAGCTCATTAAATCGAGCGACAACCGCACTAATGAGCTCCAGTCATTATCTCCCTGTCGATACGACTGAGGACATAATCCTGAATCTATTTTTGACGATCCTCGGGAGGATTGGATTCATCTATGTCCTAGGTACACCATTTCTGCAATTAAAAAATTATGAACAATGTTATTATTAATTATGAATATTCAGCACAATTGCTGCAGCTAATGGCAACCTTCGACTCGACAAAAAAACGAAACGTCGGAGAAAGACAACAATTTTACGAGTACATGAAACATAAAGAACTTCCTTATTCCATCCAAAAGAGAATATTCAAGTATTATGAGTTTTATCAGAAAAATATTGAGAGGGATCAGATGATTATTTCACAAGTTTCACCGAATTTACGAGAGGTGCCACAGAAATCCATTAATTTTTTTAATGCATAAACGACTTAATTCAATTTTTAATATAAATAATAGAAATAATTACAACCCGATTATGTCCGCAGGAATTATTGCTCCACGAATATGAAAAAATGATCGCGAAAGTAAATTTACTGCGGCAACTTCCTCCCTCGATTCTCTCCCAAGTCATTACATTTATCAAAAGTGAAATCTACTTACCCAATGACTCGATAGTAAAATCCGGAAGTACTGGAGATGCACTTTATTATGTATCCTGCGGAACAGTTGCAGTGATGAAGAATTCAAGAGAAGAAATCCTCCGACTCTCCGAGGGCTCGCATTTCGGCGAGATTTCACTCATAGCAGATCACGAAAAATCTCTTGTAGATGTAATAGCCGTCGAGTTGTGCGAGATTTCCATATTAAAACGATCAGATTTCCTGTCGATCCTCACACCACACACGAACTTATTGAATCGACTTCACAGACTCGCCCTCACCAGATTAAATCGTCGAAAACCGAGATAGAGAATTTTTGATTATTTATTTCTATAGAAAACTATTGATTTTATTTCGATAGCATTTTTTTTTCAATGCCTCTTGACACCCCGTTTAAAATTTATATCACTAGTTGAAATGAATAAAAATAATTCACTAGAATATGTTATAGACTCATTACGACATGATTATGTCAACTTTTTGTGTTAATAATTATTCTATAGTGTGTCCGACGTCACAGTAATTAACACTGCAAAAAATATAATATTAATCGTATAACAATTTTTTTACGAGAAAATTCTATGGAAAACTCTTACGCTTTTTATAAGGAATTCTATTGGAGTTTATTAGAGTTAATACTTAATATTTCAAGAGAAATTATGCATGTACAAAAATCTATAGAAAAGTGACTACTAAATTTTTGTGAAGAACTCCTACCGAAAAACAAAAATTTATAGGTTATTCTCCCGCCAAATATTTTTTCCGAAATGAAATGATAAAGTTTCAGAAACGTTCTACAGCCATAACTGAGGAGACATCGATTTTCTCCATAAAATATTGACCGAATTCCTACAAAGTTCCAATACCAATTCAATAGAATTCCGTAGAGAAAAGAAAGCGTTTGTTTTAATAATTAAATCTTCACTCACCCTTAACTCGTTCACTGGTTCTTCGGATTTCTATAGGACTGTTGATAAACCGATGTGAGTCTCCAATGCTCCGGGTAATCGGCATCCCTGGAACCCTCGACGATGGTAAACGGAGGGGTGAGAGTGTCGATGCAAAAGTTCCGTTTGGCGTACGGAGTTCTGGGTCGTGGAACTGTGTTCTTGGACGGAAGGCCGTTCCTCTTAACGTTCTTGACTCCGAGATGAGGAGCCGAATGGGAATATCGGGCTCTCCGGAATCTCTCACCCCGGCAGTGGCAGGGAACGCAGTTCCGCAGATGAACAGGCTGTCGTTTCCTCGGGTTCGGGCAGCCGTAGGTTGCAGATTTCACGAGTCGATTGTCGTCGGACTCATCGGAGATATGTATTCCATCGAAGTTCTCGCAGAGTTCGTTGTTGGTTTCGTTTGCATGACAGGTGTCGCAGGTCGGGTCGTCCCTTCGACTGCTGCCCTTCACATTTATGAACTTCGCCTCAAACCTTTCCACTGGGCTTTTGAAAGCCTTCTCGTCCCCGGGTTCGTGTTGCACTAAAGCGAAAACTGCTGGTGCTGGCCCTCCGTCGGAACCGTCTATGTGCACCGGCCACGTCGGCTCGTAATTCGGGTCGACTGGCGCTTCCCAACAAATCGCCAAGTCCATGTTCGTTGTGGGAACTTTACATCCGAGACTCGGACCGTACTGCAGCGATGTACGAATTTTGTGCCCTTTCGTACCTGGAGCTCCAGTTCAATTTTCCATTTTGTTGTGCCGGATATAACAATTGTAAAGAACCAAACAAATGAATAAAACAAGTTAAATCAGTTAATGTTTTTTGTAATCCATATTCATTCCGTGCATGTGAAGACAAATTAATTACATTACCTTGATCGATTTTCGTCAAAACAGGCGATGATTTGCTGTGGAGACCTGCCCGACCAGGTCTGACATTTCTGAACACCGAATCATCGACTTTATCGGGCAGTGGCTGGTGCTCGAGATTCTCCGCGTGAAATTTCTTGGCTATCGCGAATCTGTCGTAAACGGAGTTCCCTCTGGACATCAGTCTCTTCTCCGAGGTATTTGCCGAGTCCTTTCGGACTAGTCTATCCTGTCGCTCCCCCTCACCCGCCACAAATTCCTTGAGAGACGACAGCTTCAAGTTCCCTTTGATGTACGTTGGCAGCCGACACGTGTGTTCTCTCCTGATCTGTGATGATACCCAAGTTCCTGGACAGTGGAGGCAACACTTCTGACGAGAGTTCATTTTCACGAGACAGTTTCACTCACTCTGGAGAGAATTTTTGGAGAGTTGAGTCTCCATCTGAGCACCGATTGACCCATTTATCACAGCCGAGTGGAGCATCACTGGAGGAATTTCTCAGGGGTGGGCTCCGGGGTTGTTTACTTGACAACGAGGTTCGATATCTCAGGGTTATGCAACCAGTCGAGGAATTCCACATCTCCGCGGAATTATACTTCAACATTTTTGAGAATTTTCAAATTCCGCTGAATCTTCAATAGACCATCTTTTATTATTTTTTAATTTTCTGAATTTCAACGGACTTTCCATTTTGAAATCCTTCGAACTTTGAAAACTATGAAAACCAGAAAAACTCAGGCTATAACATTAAAATTTCAGAAAACGTCTAAAAAACCGAAAATTTGCCGATGCCGGATTCGAACCTGCGATGTTGTGACTACGAGTCCAACGCCCGATCCATTAGGCTATCGTGACATTCTCGAAAATGAAAATTTTGATCTTCCCTATATTCAGTAACAATGAAAACCAAAAGAACAGAATAATTAATGAGCATGAGCAATTCCATTAAACAAATGACAATTCCCATAAACATGCGATAAAATTCTAAAATATTTTTTTGTGTATGAATCCAATATATCGTATTATACATAACATCAATGGTTATCGCGTGCATTTGAAATCCAGAGTACATTATTTATATTTCCAACATTGTCTCCGGTTGGAGGGCCAAAAATAACAATTTCCCATTTATGGAAAACGACCTGAATGGCCGTGGGAGTACTCTGGAGCACCAATGCGTCATTGATGATGAAAATCACCATCTGACTCTACTCCCTCCAACACTGACCTGAACTGATGGCCTTGATGCCAGAGTTAAAAGACAGTAAATATTAACACGCACAGCAATAAACACCATTCCTCACTCTAACCACTAAGAACAATAATTTCAATTAAAAATTAATCCCAAATTGAATGTCAAATGATAAAAAATAAAGAGTTACTGCAGAAATTCGTATAACGGTTTTGAAAATTAATTTGTCACGTGGGAATTTCATGATTCAAGTGTTTCAAGGAAACGTCTCTCGAGCATGAAGGATTCCAAGCAATTTTGAAGGAATTTTCCTCATGAGCTGGATAATTAGACAAGTAAATGAAAAACTGTAGCAATGAGGTAAAACTTTTTGAGATATATCTTAAGACTTTGGAAATTTTTTTTCTCGAAATCATTTTTCAATTTTGATTCTCAACCCCAGTGAATCCCACCTCTCTGAAGATTTTTCGATAATAATAATAATATATAATTATATAAAATTCTAAACTCGGAAAAAAGTTAAAATTGAAATTTCCGCTGGCCGAATCAATTTCTTTCCATGCAATGAAAAAAATATTCTCGGAAGTCTAAATGATCATATTTATTAATACCAAATAAATATGTATTTGTTATTAATAAATTTTTATGAAACCTTTCATTGAATCGAGAAAAAATATTTCCGATTCAAATGCAACATTCCGCAAATAAACAATCAAAAATCAGTTTTACCTCCGAATCGTCGAATGAAGTCCCAAATGCCTTGAAGATAATCCAAACAGTGTGGTTAATCAGGTTACTAATGAATCGGGAAGATTCCCCAGGTCGTCCCTACGACGACGACGCAGTGATGAGTTACATCGACGACGAGCTGGAGCTGTCGAATCGAAGATCAACGGAAAATCGTCAATCACTTCCACTCCTGGAGACAGACAACACCTTCAATCCACCGCCGACATACGGTCCAGAAGTAGACGACCTGGTGCCCCCAGGAAAGCCAGGAATAGACGAGGGTCTTCTTCCCCCACGTCCCTTCACCCCTCATCCCTCCAACGGCGCAATACCCCAAGTACCATTCGACGTCAATGTCTATCAGCAGAAGAAAACCCTCGCCCAGGGGATGATGGACCTGGCTCTCATCTCCGCCAATGCCAATCAGCTGAGATACGTCCTGGGCTCGAAGAATCATCCGTTCTATCTAGCCTCCTTGGTGATGATTTGCATGAGTCTTTCACTTCAAATTGCCGTGGGAATTGGATTAATCTGGAACAGCCGTTACGACGTCAAAGAGGATGATCAGGTGATCAGGGCGAACAGGGCGAATAATTGGACTGTAATCGGTGTTTTTCTCGTAACCATTCTCAACGTTTTTATATCATCATTCGGAGTCATCGATCCACCGGATGTCGTCACTATTTCTCTGAAGAATGCAAACGATGATGACAGCATCGAACCGCTCAATAGAATAGGATATCTGAATCAATCTATTTCATAGTTGTTCAATCCTTAAAATAAAATTGATTGATTAATTATAGATTATTCATTCAATGAATGAAGATTTTTTGTTCTTTACAACGAATTTTGGGTGAAAATTCGTTGAAATTTAATCGTACATTTCACATTTTTAGATATTATATGACGGAAGAATAAATGTTTCAATCGATATTTAATGTTTTTATTGGTAATAATACTTGTAATTGTAACGATTACACATAGCAACATGAAATTTATAGTCATATTGGGATAGAGTGAATAATCGTTGGTAAATATCAAAAAACAATAGTTCAACAGTCACCCGATAATAGTTATCCCCATGCACTCGATCATTGAACTCGAAATTATTTAATATTTACGTTAAATTTGTAGTTGATAAAATTTATCACTTGCCAGTAATCAATTATTGTTATTGATGTTTCTTTGTGGATGCTCTTTGTCTTGTGTCAATGGTATCCGCTCATTCATTCAATCTCTCGTTTGTTTATTAAAAAAATGTGATTGTTACTGTGATTAAAAAAATGTTTATATGTCTGGGGTGTAAGCGGCTAGTGCTAGGCTATTTCTCAGAATGGTTTCACCACCAAATTGTTGAATTGTTGAATTCTTGCGAATTGTACGGCTGTGGGGGTGAAGATTCAGGGGCGGTAGATTTGGGTGCTCTATTCTGGTTGGAGAACTCACTCGGGGTCGGAATGTCTCCCTTTGACAGCCATAGAGCTCTAAAATTTTTGACATGTGTCACTTGCGAAAATTATTTCCTAATAAGTCTCTTTGCAATCGAATTATCCGCAAAATGAGTAATCTGACAAAAAAAATTGCATGAAACTTTTTTGTAGATCATGCATTTGTCTACAAAAAGTTCAAGTCGATTTTTTTTCTGTAATCGATTGTTTTCGAGATAGAGAGAGGATTCGATAAATTGTTATTATTTTTGAAATGTTTGATTATCTCCGTAGGTATTGAGTTTACGAGAAAATGTTGAATAGCATTTTTTTCAGGAATTAAATTCTTCACTTATAAATTCTTATCACTTTTTCTCCTCAGACCACTCATGAGCTGGATAGTTCGACTTTTCGATAGAATATGAATTCTGAGAATCACTCACCCGTGTCGTTCGGTTCTAATACATCATTCAATTGAAAATACTCCGCTTTGATTGACAATGGCTCTTCATAATCAACGAATGCTGTGTTGTCGAAAGCGATTTCCTCCTTGGGAGTGGATCGCACCGGAGAAGGAACCGGCGGCTCGATATAGATCTGCAATTAAACGATGATTGATTCATTAATAAAAAAAAATATAGTCAAATATTCATTGTGTTATATATCGATAAATTTTCCAAACTATTGCTTTTAGGAGAAAATATCAGAAGAGTTTTTTCATCAGAAATTTAATTGACTACAAAAAAGTCCTTCAACTTTTCTTTCTAAAATCAATAGTTTTCGAGATACATACATTTTCAACTGGAGCCGTTGGATAAGTGCGTTTCGGCGTCATGCCGTTCCCGACAGTTTCATACGTATGATCTTCGAGATAATGTCGTGTCGTCCCTCGTGGTGTTAATGTCGCCCACATTATCCGGCTGTCCTGCATGCCATCAGCTGTACACGGATACAAAACCGTCTCATTCTGAATGCGCGCACTTTTTGGTTGAGTTATTGCTGCCGCTGGCATCGAGATAGTCCCACCTTTTTGACTGGTATTGCTGAAATTTCTATCGCATCAATCCACAATTATTGCAAGTCCGAAACACTAATATCATTAATCATTAATAAATTAACTCACAATTTGCACCGCAACAGGACAATTACTAAAAGTACACTGACGACAATTATTCCCACGCATGACAGAATAAGAATCAACAGCCACGTGTCATCGAATAAATTCCCTGCAACTCAATTATAAAATTAAAAAATCGTCAATTGGGCATGTTATTTTATAATCGATAGAATTACCATTGGTATTACCTTGATGGGGCATTTCCACGTACTGCACCCCATCGACTTTCCAATCGCAATGATGATTGCAGAGTGTCCCATTGACTTGAGCCCCGACGATGGGTAGACCATTCTGTGAATGAACCTCTGATCCATACTGCAAAAATGAGGGAATCGGCGGGGGTGGAATCGACAGAATTAAATTTGGGGGTGGACCTATTCCACAAATGGCGCAACTGGAGTCATTCATCATCATTATTCCCGGCAAATCCGTTGTGGTCATCTACAAAATAATAATAATAATAACAATAATATTAATTACATTGTATTGTTGCAAAATTAATCCTCATCGTTAACTGTAATGGCGTGTCTCCCGGGGAGATATTTATTTATAATAATTATCCGCGTGTGATCTGGCTCTATTGAACCCTCACCATTACAAATCTCAGCGCATACGCAAGATTCGGAGAAAGAAATAATTTTGAACAGAAAATCATGACATGCACTATTTCCACAGAATTCCCCATTAATACCTATCACCAAAAAATTTTTTTTCAATTGATCAATTTCATTAAATTTATATTAATATCCATTAGAATTTTAATTAAAAATTCCTCAAATTATTCTATAAACTTCAAATTTCTCACTTTACAAATGGAAAATAAATTCTAATAATTAATAATAGTGGAATTGTTAAATAAAAAAATGGAACGCGGTATAACAAAGAGCACCATGGAACACTTCTGCGAACTAATCGATGGTTCAATGACATCCGAGTAATTATTTACACAATACCTGAATTTCAGGGATTTTTCATGCTGAACAACACCGAGTGGTATATGATTTTGATAATTGTGATAAATAATTATTCACTTCACCTTATTTTAAATAAATGACGGATTCCCCGGTGGACAGAGCTGACAGCCACATTTAACTGAGTCCTGTGGAGATGATGGAATTGAGCGCAAGCGCAAATCTATTGAACGTCTGGAAATCCTGAGGAGAATCGGGCACTTGTCGATGGCAGGAGTTCAGTATTATCTGGTGAATTGTTTTAATCGAATATTTTATGGGGCGTGATTTGCCCCAATCGATTTCTCGAGGGTCTCGAAATTTTCGTACGTGATGGCACGCACGAAAGAATTATCAATAAACAAATAAAAACATATTAGTGCACATTAAAAATAGAATTTATTGATAAAAAATATTTACCATCTCAAATTTAGACCGAACATCAATTTCCTATGATATCCATGATTTTATAATAATAATAAAAATTGATAGAACTTGATAATCAATATTATAATTAATAAGGCAATAGATTTGGATAATCAATTATTACCTATTGATTGACGGAGAATTGTACCAAGAACTTCCATTGCCTGTAGAAATGATAAGATTTAAAGCTACTAAAAATTATTTGAGATTGAATGACGTACCTTGTCGACTTGTTCTTCTGTAGAGAAACTGTAGCAAAGACGGAGATAAGAATCGGACTGGGGGCTGTCGTAATCGAAGGCACTTCCAGGGATGATGAAGACACCGTTGGGAATTAATTCCTTCATGACCAGATCGAGGGAATTTTTCTTCGTATTCAGTTTAATCCAGACGAACATTCCGGCCTTGGGGACCGACCACTCCACCAAGCCTGAAAATTCATAAAATAATGGAATATACAAATTAATTACTCCTGGCAATCGAGTCTTGAGTAATTAATGTGATTAATGAGACAGGGCCTCGGCACTCGATTTTGTGTTTCGAGGAGTTGCATCTGTTTGTTTTTTAAATAAAGAATTAATTGCAAACCTTTCAAATGTTTATCCATCGATCTGATCATCAAGTCTCGTTGACACTTGTAGAAACTCTGAACTCTCTTTATATGACTATCGAATTCCTCAGAGGACCAGTCCTCCAAAAGCTTGAACATCAAAATCTGCAATAAAAAATGTATGAAAAAATATTAATGAATTATTTAATGAATCCCTCGTCCTAATTTTCTTTGTCTCCAAAATTTTTATCTGCATTTCTTGATTTACAATTGGAACAATCAGAGTCAAAGAAGCCAATGCAGAATTTTTGTATCAAAAATAAATGATTAGATTGAATTATCACCTGTGATAAAGACGACGCGTGAAGGACAGTATTTTGAAGACTGACGATTATCCTGTTGATGATTTCCTGGGGTGCGGTAATAACTCCCAGTCTCAGGCCCGAGCTCACGATTTTGCTGAACGAATCCAATCTAATGACTCGTCCATCGGTGTCCATGGACAGGAATGATGACGGCTGGTGATCCAGGAAGTGAACGAAATAGTAGGCGTCGTCCTCGATTATGAGAAAATCGTATTTCTGGGCGAGCTTGTAAATTTCCTTCTTTCGATCGATTGTCAAAACAGAACCAGTGGGATTCGCACCTATTGGATTCACGCAAAGTGCCTGCATGATAAAATTACATAATTAATTATCATTATATTAATTATTAACAATTCGTTCCCATTTATTGTGTATTAATCATGAAATCCTCTAGAGTTCCAATAGAATATCGAATTTCTAGAGGAAGTCCTGGACTGATGATTTAATTAATACCAATTTATCATTTATTAATTAATTAATTAATGGAACTCACTTTTGGTAATTTGAGATTATCGTTTTGTCGTGCACTGCAAATTCGGTCGATCTCCTCGGGAATTATTCCGTCTGCGTCTTGGGGGATTCCGATGTATTCCGGATTCATCGCGTGTACCTGAAAAATAATTTGCGGGATTGGAATAATGATGAGGGAGAATAATTAACAAAGCGCATTATTTTCGAGGTCTGTTTTTCGATGATATCTCGGAGTCGAAGGAACATAGCGATTTTTTTGTAAAAACATTTTTTATAGAGAAAGATAAGATCTGGAAAAAAGGTTGATATGAGAATATTGTTATCTCCTTTTAATCCTGAGATATCCACTAAAGACTCGTCTCGAAAAAATGCACTTATCGTATTTTTCAGTTAACAATTACAATTACAGTTACAATTTTCACTCACTGCAGCTATTGTTCCCGCATATGCAGGCGCTTGAACCATGACAGGATCCCCCTCATCGATCATGAGATCGAGAATTTTGTAAAATCCATCCTGAGATCCAGGAACAACCGCGACATCCCAATTTTTAAACGGGGGACTGTGCCATCGGCTTTGGAAATCTCTCCATTTGTTTATCAGAGGAAAATATCTAGAGCAATTGAGATTTTTTTATCAATTTCTATCGTCCCTCATTAATGATAACATTTAATGATAATTGGGTCACGCATGATAAAAATGTTTCCAACAGTCCGAGGGGTACTAATTATTTTGTGCAATTTTTTTTACAATCTCAATGGATTTTTAATTAATTTAGTGGATTTTACCCTTGGGACGGTCCATATTGCAGTCCATCCCCCATTTCTTTCTCAGATAAAGTAATTGTTTTATCTCCACACGTAACTGATAAATTTTTAAATGGAAAGAGAGTCGAGTTGGGCATTCCAGATGCTAAATTAATCGATCCAGGATTTTGCAAATAGACTTTTGCTAAAAATAAATAAATGTTTTCAGTAATCTTCTTATTTTCTATTATCTTGAATTCAATCATCAATTGAATAACATTAATAATAATTAATAATGACGATGCACTGCTGAATTTAATTGGAAAATATGTGTTTTTAAAAAATGTAATTAGTAGTGGGAGTTGTTAATAATTGAATTGTTCACTTACTCAATCGCCTGATGAGATTATCCCTCCGGAAATTGCTCCTCCTCGCGAAAAATTTCGTGTAATCCATTTTCTCTTGCACTGGTGTAATGAGATAATTAGAACAACCTTCTCCCCAGTCCCGGGACTGAGTGAATCGAGACTTTCATATCATTCAAGCGTCGGGTCGTGTGGGCTACGATTCACTGATAACGATGACACGTCAATCTCACTCCGCAAATTCACTTTTCAACTTTCAAATATGCATTTTTCCCGAATATCTCAGAATTCAAGGGCCAAATAAAAAATTTGTAGAGGACTTTTTTGTAGATCTCACTCAGCTCTACAAAAAAGTCCCCATAAAAATTGTTCTATCTCCCCAAGACTCCGAGATATTTATTAAAAACTAAATCTCGAGTTTCGATTATTTCACGTTTCATTGATTTCCTTTCCGTTACTGTGAACCACTCGGCTTCTCCGATGTAAATAACACCAGACACTTGAGCAATCCGCCAAAACACTCGCAACTCTTGTTTGTTTTGAAAATAAAATTTCCAAACAGAGTGATATAAGAATTTCCTTCATATGACTCACCAGTCGAATTTTATTCTCTCGTCCCTTAGAAAATACTGAATAATACATTCTCTTCGTTTTAAAAATCTAAAAGTATAAAAAATGTTGCTAATAATATTTCGCCAACTTTCCGCTGCGTATATACAAATTATTTTATTCTCTTAACTTTGGGGAAATTATCTTTCTATTTTTCTGGCATCTCGAGTGCTTTCACTGTGGGTTCGATTTTATCGAGCCTGTGTCGGAGCTCCTCAATCTCCAGCCTCAAATTATCGATGATAATGTCTTTCTCTTTGATCGTATCTGTCAATTCAGCAATAATCGAGTCTTTATCGGCGTTCAAACTCTGTAATAATTCGGTGGCTGAGGGGCGCCTGATGGGATCGACGAGGAGAAGTCGTTTTATTGTGTCGGCCTGGGAAAATAATAAGTATTATCCTGAGGGTAAATAGAGGAGATAAATGTGCCGATTTAATGAATTTTACCCATTTTGGATATTTTTCCACGAACTCCTCCGGCATTTTTCCAGATTTTAATTGATTTATCAGAGAATTTCTCTCCATTCCCGTTTTCATGGGAAAAAATATCTCGAATATAACAATTCCTAGGCTGTAGAGATCACTCTAGAATCAGAAAATTGAATTATAAAGAGTTCGTGATAATTTTGAGAGAAATCGATTTTCTTAGTGCGTGAGTTATCGGGGAATATCTCGGAATCGAAGAGAGATAGCGATATTCTTGTCATGGCCTTTTTTTTAGAGTGGAATGAGAGCTACGGAAAATGTCCTGACAGAATTTCTCTGTTTTAATTGGGTGCCGAGATATGCCCCGAAATGCACGAAGTCGTATGAGCTGGATAAAGCCAAAAAGATGAAATAAATTTTTTTACTTTTGGATTGCACTGGCCATTGAGTTGCTCAGGTGCTGCGTACAATTCCGTCCCGAAGACGGGATGATGACTCTCCCGTTGACGAGGACAGGCCAATCCAAAGTCTCCGACCTGAATTTCCACTCGTTGACCAATGGCCCCGATAAAAATATTGCTGGGCTACAATTAAAATCATAAATTCAAATTCAATAGAATCCCCCGGATCTTATCAAAGCTGCTATCACCACTGATAATCCAGTGATAACTTCAGTAACAAAATTATAAACCGACACAATTCCAATTTTACAATTGAAAATAAAATGTTACTTCACTCACAATTAATTAATTAATAATTTTCTGGGACTTACCTTGATGTCATGGTGTACGATATCTCTAGAATGCATATAGTGCAGTCCATCGAGGATTTGTTTTAAAATCGTAGTGGCAATAGGTTCTGGAGTGGCTTCTAATCTCTCATCGAGCCAAGCTCGCAGTGTTTTTTCGCAGAGAGCCATTTGAATATAAATTGTTGCATATTTCTGAAAAATAACAAAAACAATTAATGGCTTGATCAGAATTAATCATACGTCGACTAAGATATACTTACAACTCTGGAGGAATTGTATTGACAGATCCTCCTGTCAGTGACAGCATCTGTATGATCTGGGGACGGAATTTCCTCGATGTCACTGCTATCAGAGCTGACACTGCGATCATCAGTCTCTCCATCATCATTTCTAAAAGACACAACATCAGAATTCCTCGACACACGATCGACATTCTCACTGATTCTTCTGCCTATAATATCAGTCGCAGAATTAAATTCTTGAAATCGTTGATTGACGATTTCACAGTGGCTGACAGACCTCTCCCTCTCCCGCTGATTACGACGACTAATTGATTTTCTAAAAGACATACCACCACGAGACTCTGAATTAAGAGAGGAGCGGCTATTTTTTAATTGATTACTAGTCTCACAGGAGTGGCTCTCAGGGGACATACGTCCAATCAAAGACCTTTTGCCCTTGAATTTTGTTCTGGGGAGGAGTGAGTGCGGTAGATTGTGCTCGATCCAGGCGCCCTTGTACGCCACGATATTCGTGTGATTAAGTTTAGCGAGGGTTTTTACTTCCTCCAGTTGCTGGAGAATATTCTTCACTCGTCCTGACTTGACTATGATTTTTTTAATAGCATACTCGTGGCCATCGAGCCGATTAATTGCTCGATAGACAGTGCCGAAACCCCCGGAGGCAATGAACTCACGTTCGTCGAATTCAACGGCGTAGCGAGACCAATCTGGAGACAAATTGGGAAATTCGATTATGTCTTCAGAGCCAGCAGCAGCTCTTGCCACAGCCACTAGTCTGTACCAGGCCTGTTGGTATTGTCCCCTCATGCTCTCGAATTCCATCATGTTGTAGGAACTGTCGATCAGTCTCATTTCGTGGAGTTTGTCACACAAAATGAAGTATAATTTGTTCCTTCGGGTTGGATCTGTCTCGAACATCGCGCAGATACTCTTCAGGAGGGATTCGATGAGGAGACTTGTTGATGGGGCAACACGACCCACTATTTGCCCCCCACTTGAACCATCGTGGGCTTCCTCAAGACGTCGTGTTATCCGAGAATTGTTTCCTGTAATTAAAATAAGAGGAAAAATATTTTTTCCAGAATTAGAATTTGAGGAGTTCCAATGGATTTTTTAAATAAGTCGTAATACAAAATTTGACAATTCTTCATTGCGAAGGAATTGCAATTGTTTCAACTGCAGAATAATTAAGAAAAGAGATGCATGAAAGAAATTATGTAAAGGGAAATATCGAACTCACCATTGTCGAAAGTGGATATCGTTGACAAGTTTTTCCAAGGGTTTGACTTTTTTGCATTGTCATTACTCATTGTTGAGTTATGTATTTGATCAATAATTGAAGTATCTCCTCGATCCTGTTATTCCCGATGTAAATAAATCCGAATAAACGGCATTCTTTCCTCGTCTCCGAAAGCCCCTGCAGGTTATGACTGTCCTGTCACCATAATTCACACTAAAAAATTGATATTCAATGAAGAATCCTGCCACCTGCAGAGTCCAATTCCATATCAATTGTTACAACGACGATATTGAGAAAAAATCTCATTCCATTACTAGATTTTTCAATGTTGCCGGGTAATACACTCTCGTTCAGATAATTGTTCTGGTATGAATTCCGAGTTCTCAGAGATTCTAGTCGCGATCAGCAGCGCTCATAGCAAAAACCGACACTCGTCGACACTGGTATGACCGACCGAAAATCACTGAAAACAAATCCGCGAATTAAAATTTAAAAACGTGAAAAATGGTGACTATTTCACACGATTCAGATAGTGAAGATGAATTACCCCCTGGGTGGGAGGAGAGGACAACACTTGATGGAAATGTTTATTACGTCAAGTAAGTGCTCTATACTAAAAATTACAGGTTATATTTTTACTCAAACGTCTAATTATTGTTATGCCAACAATAATCGAATTATTCGTCCTTTCAATATTAATCCTAAAATAATTTTCCTACGGGAAAATCCTAAAATGTCTCTAAATTAATTAATTAACTAATTAATTCATAAGGAATTATTCTGCTTAGTCATTAAACTCTTTTTGTTATTTTATTCGTAATAATAAAAAATCTCTCGCAGTTGATTGGTAAAAACTGATTAATTAATTAATTAATTGAAGGGTTATTCGTGTCTTTGGGGGTTTAATTGATGAATAATCTCCGAATTATTATTTCTCTTTGATATTGCTTTTAGAATTATTTTCAATGTTGTGATAATTTATAGAAAACAATAAGAGTACTGAATAATTCACATTCTCTCCGTTCATTATTCTGCAATGAATCTATGATCTCAGAGTCTTGGTGAGTACCAACGACTGTAAATATTCCTGGAATAATGATATTTTTTCAATTTAGCCATTACACGAAATTGACGCAGTGGAAACATCCACGAACTGGTAGAAAAAAAATTGTGGAAGGAGGTAATTACTGATTAATTACACCTTATTACCCCATTCCAACGATCACGTACCCCGTTCTCATAAAATAATTTATCACAAACTGAAATATGATTTAATTAATTAATTTTACCAGAGCTTCCTCCTGGGTGGGAAAAGTGCACGTCAGACGATGGAAAAATAGTCTTCGTCGATCACACAAATCGAACGACAACGTACACTGATCCACGATTGGCATTTGCTACTGAATACAGAGAGCCTATGCAGCCAGTGAGACAGAGATTTGATGGTAGTACACCAGCTCTAGCTGTCCTACATGGAAGAGACTTGAGAGGAAAAGTTGCTATTGTCACTGGAGCAAATACAGGAATAGGTGGATTGATTACTGAATTATATCAATTACAGCTTATTATTCAATCCAATTACTCATAATTATTGATTCTTTTCGTCACCTTCGAATTATAATGGTCCTAGGCTTCCAGACTGCCAGATCTCTAGCTTTTCACGGTTGCACAGTGATTTTTGCATGTAGAAATGAGGAGAAAGCTGAGGCTGCCATCGAGGCGATAAGAAACGAGCGAGAGAACACCACGTGTGATATTTTGCAGATGGATTTCTCTTCGTTGCACACTATGAGAGATGCCGCTGAGAAATTTAAGCAGAAGTACAGGTAAATATTTATTTTCTGTTTGAGATAATTGATATTAGGATATATGCATTATTGAATTGCAGAACTCTCGATATTTTAATTCTCAATGCTGGAGTATTTGCAATGCCATACACTTTGACTCAAGACGGTTATGAAACGACTTTTCAAGTTAATCACCTAGCGCAATTCTATTTAACTTTGCTACTGGAGCATCCGATTAGGAGTAGTAAAAATCCAAGAGTCGTGATTGTTTCGAGCGAGTCTCACAGGTACAAAAAGGCCAATAAATAAATTAAATTTAGGATATCCCTTGGATAAAATAAAAACCTGAGGAAAATTTTAGATTCTCGAGTATTCAAACGCCTGAGGATATCCATCCTCTGACCCTCTCTCCTCCAGCTTACAAGTACTGGTCGATGGCTTCCTACAACGACTCGAAGCTCTGCAATATTTTATTCGCCCAGGAACTAGCCAGGAGGTGGCCCTCAGTCAGTGTCTTCAGTTGTCATCCAGGTGAATTAATTACTCCCACCAATAACTCGATAAGACTGCAATTTTATTTCTCTTAAACCAGGGAACATGGTCTCGACAGAGATCTCTCGTTACTCCTGGCTGTACAGATTCCTCTTTGCCCTGGTGAGACCCTTCACAAAGTCACTCCAGCAAGCAGCAAGCACTTCAGTATTCTGCGCAACTGCTCCAGAGCTCGAGGGAGCCACAGGGATTTACTTCAACAACTGTTTTAGGTGTGATCCCTCGAGCATATCCCTGGACTCAACTCTGGCCTCGAGACTGTGGACCGTCAGCCAGGAGATGATAATTAACGTTGTGAAACGAGAAAAATTGTGGTACGACCTAGCTATCAAGTGAAAAATCCCCGGAGCTTCGACTCTCTCGGGATTATTGCCAATCTAGGTAATTTTTATCCAGAGAAAAATCTAAAAAAACATTTCATCAATTAATATGAAACGTTTTAATGGATAAATATCACCAATTGAATTTATGAAGTAATAAGATCGTTTTGTGATCGTTTTATATACTTTTTATCAACTGTACATATGTAATAATAAATGGTGGATGTTAATTGGCGTAGTATTCCCTGAGGTACTCAGCCTTGGGTTTTAAAATGGCCTTGTCCTTGAGGCTCACCACCCACCCTGGCTCTAGCCCATAGAATATCTGTCTCGGATCTTTTTTCTCTGACAGCATCTCATAGTCAGGATCCTCCTCGTACTTTGGAAGGGTGTATCCGTACTTCTGAGCAAGGACCAAACGCTCGTAGGCTACTTTATCTGGATCTGCCAGGTATCCACGAGTTGCTGCACTGGAATAATATTCCAGGCAGTCTGAAGGTGGGAGCATTCGCCTGGGAATTGGCTCACCTGCAGATAATTATTCCCCACACATCCATTAATTCATTCCACCAGATTATTTATCCATCCGTTCGTGTACCCAATTATTATTATGTTCTCTTTTATTGGAGCAAAGAACAAATAATTGATTTAATCAATTGGTCTTACCTCTTTTGAAGAATTTTTCAGCATCGGACAGGGCAAATAAACTCTCTCGATCGTAAAATGCAGTTGTTATGATCCCTCCATTCTTCTCAATAGCAGCAATCACTGGTTCTGTCGCCCATTGAACTTCGATATTCACTTTAGCTTGGAAATCATTGATTCCCTAGAAATATTCAACTCAATAAAATTGCCCTGCGACCATTAACAATTCAGAAAATTTATTTCTAAGAGAATTTCACGTACCTCATCAGTGAGATGAACTCCAGCATGAGTTTGCATGAAATCGAGATGATAGAGCCCAGTATTGAATAGAGATAAAAGATCTATTGGCTTCGAGGCATCAATTCTGTTAGTATCGATCATTAATTGCAGCTGGTGAAGACTCAGAGGTGGATATTGTCTCCTGACACTGAAAAAAGTATAAAAAATTCAGTTACAAATCACAACTCGAAATTGACTGAGTGAAATCGATAGATTTGAAAAAATTCTTACTGATGCCCCTTGTAATAAGGCTCCCACTGGAATCTGAGGTAAAAGGGAATATTTCCTGTTTCATAACCAGTTCTCATGTAATTTTGCCTCTGCCCTGATCCCTTGTTACCTGCACCATGCTTATCTCCTCCATGGGCAGCCCTTCCTCTTTTTGTCTACGAGAGATTGAATTCTCATTCATAAATTTTCTCCGAAAATTTAATTCTAATTTAATAGATAATTTGTACCTTCTTCAATGTTCCTGGATTGGCCCGGAGGTTCTGGAGACACACCCTGGGCAAGGACCTGAGCATCGACAGGGCCCAATCCCTTCCTCCTTTTCCCATTCCTGGCATTTTTAACGGGTAAATCCTTTTATCACTCCACAACAATCACGAATTTCTAATTTCTTCCAATTTTCTCGTAAACTCTTCACGAGATCAGCTGCATGTTGACGAGAAGTCGAACATAACCTAATTCACCAGTAAAGCAATCAACACTAAAACTAGATGAATAAATAATTCCTAATTGAATTATTTATATTTAATTGTCTCTAGGCAAGAGGTTTGAACGAAAATCTTATTATATGTCGGAGAAAATTTAAAAAAACTCGAATTTCGTTATAGTTTTTGGAATTCGTAGCACCACATACATTCGGGAGTTCTTTACCGAATGATTCTAATCACGTGGGTAAAACAGACACTTCACTTTTTGTTTCGAATTTGCAAAATGTCGAGTGTAATGGCACTGAATTAATTTCGATGTGAATTGTGTACGTCCCGATCAACTACTTGAGGATTATTTGTGTTATCCAGTGTTGTTACTTATAAACAATAGGCACAAAGAGATGAGTGATTTAAATAATTTTAAAAAGACTTCACAGGCACCAGTATTATAACACCTTACCTCTTTCACTGACTCTCTTCAACTGGTCAATTGAAAATATTATTGCCTGTTTGCTTTCGATCGTCTTTCTCGGATGTGTCGTTCTGTTATTGTTTACGTTTCGCGGTAATCCACAATACAATGGGTATAACTCACTGACTCCCACGTACTCAACTGAAATCGATATATACCATTTTAGACATCAAAACAATTCATGAATACTTGAGAATTTTATTTCGTTCACTTCGGAATATTATAATCTTTTACAAAATAATTACACAACGTTATGAATTGAAAAATATACCAATTTCTAAATTCTATTTATCTAATAACATATGGAAAAATTCATTAATGATCAAATATACTGTGTACTAATATTGATATAGTTGCTTTGCAAACTCTCTGTCACATGATCCCCCTTGATTCCCCCCCTTTTCCCCCGGATATATCGTCACAATGAAAAACAGTAATACAAAATATAGTGCAATGAGTATATGCTATACATAAAAAGGAGGGAATTCACTTCACTAAATTAGCCCCTTGGATTTTTCGTTATAAAAATCATGCTGAAGTTGGAGTTTTTAATCGTCAAAGTTCACTTAGTATGAGATAAAATAATCTCTCTATAACATCGATAAGGCTACAATTTTCATTATCGTTTACGTCTACAATATATCAATATTTTATTTATTTTGTTCATTAAAAGATTTCTACTCTTATGGCTGTCCACTTGAGACCACTCCAGAGCCACATTCTCTCAATTATTTATTAATATAAAAGTATGATAACAAGCTGCTCAACGTATCACTATTCGGTGCTGTTAAACTTATAAGGAGATAGCAATAAATAATAATAAAAATGAATTGTTATCTGTTAATTAGATAATTGACGTTATATCTAGGACCAATTCTACTATTTTTCCTATCGATGGATTAATCAAATCAACTGTGGAAATTCTTTAAATCTCTCGTTCATAAACAGAAATCCTATTCTTATATCACATATATTGAGGATAATATTTAAGGTTTTTGAAAATATGAGATGAGAATATATTCCCTTACCGCAAGGAATGTTGATTTAGATATTTCATTGAATTTTTTAACACGTAATCACTGTGATATTTTATTTGTGGAGATTATTCTCTTTTAGTGTTTAAAATATTGATTTTTATTCCGTTTTTCAATATCGAGAATTTTAGAATTTCTAGCACAATTTCATAATTTTTCAATGGATCTATGTAATTATTTTCAATGTATTTTTAAGTTTATATCAAATATAGATATTATGTTTGATTCATAATAAATATATTCTAATTTGATTACTTTGTCTTTATAATAATAAATCGAGTTAAAAAAGTGAATTCTGAAATAACTATTAAATTTCTACGTTAATTAATAAACTAGGCATAATCTGAACTCGTCGTGTCTTAATTATTCACAAAACAATATCGTCAACTCGTGATTCGTGGTTATTTAAATCGATTGGAAATAGATTTTACAGAGATTAACAACGTAAACTCGTTTGCTAGAGGATCCAAACAAAACTGATATTGTTTAGACTCTGGATTTGTTATCAAATAACAAATAAAAATGAAAACAAAAAGAAAATACTGCATTCTCCCTAGTTGAAGGTATTTACATGTCGTATCAATCGTCTAACTCCTATTATTAGTGTTATTGTTGTTATTGTTGTTTGGACTCAGTGGATTTCCGATATTGTCAATTTCCCGTTGGGCACGGGATATTTTCACTTTGTCCCTGGGGGTGCCGTCCTCGCCCGTTTCCATCGCGAACATCTTCATTTTTTCCTTAAAACTCAATTTTTCGGGTACTTCTCCCAATTGAGCGTTCAGCTGTTGCTTCTGCTTTTCAGCCAATCGTTTTTGTCTGGGGTCTCTGAAAAAATAATAAATCACAATGGAAATTAATTTTTTTGCTATTCTTGCGCAATATCTCGAAATCCACGAAAGATGGAGAAAAATTTAGTCAACATTTCTTGTGGATCTTTCTCGGATCTACAAAAACAGATTGTTTAAAGTAGAGCCTCAATATTCGTGAAACAACTAACGAATTATTGTTGTCTTCATGAAAAACTCACTTGTAAACTTCCTGAGCTCCTATAACCCCTGGGGTAGCCGTGGAAAATAGTCCACCAGGGCCTTCTGGAGTCTTTGGAGATGCCAGCAAGATCTCCGCGTCATTTATAAAGTTCTGAAATGAGCCAGCACAAAAAAATCACTTCATTATCCCCGAAAATCCCTTTCAACACAACTTTAAAATCTTGCAATGCACATAATAAAAAAACACAAGATAAAACCGACGATAATGGCGATGACATGATGATAATAAACCGAAGGTGATGATAAACATGCAGAAAGATCGGACATTTATCGCAAATAAAACACGCATTACCATTTAGTTACTACCTTACTTGGATAACTGCAGAGGTGTGCGTTTCGACAAAATATCTTAATTATTAATTATTATCAAGATGAATTATCAATTTCGACTCTCAAAAAACAAAAACTTCTTCCCTTCATTAAATTTAAATACGACATTGATATTTTTTAAAGACGAATATTTCAAATCAATATAGTAAATTTGTTAAAAAAAAAAGGATTCCCCAGTCCCTAAATAAAAATTAAAAACTCACATTAGGATCCTCTCGTATGGTGTCCATTCCACTCAAGGACGTGGGATTGGAGTTACCAGAGCCAGTGTTCCTCTCAATATTAGCATTTGGATCATGGAACGACACCCTTTTCATGGCAGTCTGTCCAGGATTAGAAGCACTAGACGTATTAGACCTGAGTGCACTCTGCTGAGACATAACAGCATAACTAGAGCCCCGCTCAGGGGGAGGTGGTGCCTCCCCAGGTGGTGAACTCGGTCCATTAATCACGAGATTATCAAGCCTGAGCATCCCAGGATGCATCTGGTTTTTATTAAAAACTTGCTGCATCCTGATGTCCTCCTCCCTCTTCCTCTGATTCTCATCGAACTCATTCTGCTTTCTCTTGAGCTCCTCGATCCTCCTCTGACGTTCCTCAAATCCCTGGGGCTTCCCAGGGGCTGTGAACTGTCCAGATGAGTAACTCGATGTAACAGTCGTCTGCATTTGAATATTATTCACGTCATTTCCCCCGTAGATGCCTCCCTGCTGTCCCTGACTCGTCGCCGTGTGCAGAGAAACACTAGTCGACTGGATTTGACTGCCCACAGGTTGCGGTGACAGGGGCTGTCCCCTCGTACTCGTCCTTAATACTGATAAATTCCCCTGATTACCTCGATCCTGGGAGGCTGCCATTCTCAGGAGGCCCTGCACCCTCTGTGCACTCTCGTTGTCAATCTCTGTACTCTCATCGTCGTCGTCCTGCTGATTTGCCACTTCCTCGGCACGCTTTTGGAAATCACGCTCCAGTTGGAGTGCTCTCAGCTGCTCCTCCTGTTGAGGTGTTCGGCTTGATAGAGATGACAATTCAGCGATCTGCTGGTCTCGCCACAATTTCGCTGCCTCTCGGCGTCTTGCTTGCTCTTTTTCACGTTCCTCTCGCTGCCAGGGATTCGTCGCATTGTATTGATACTGACGGGGCTGACTTGGAACTGATGTTGGGTAGTAGCTGCCTCTTGGGGGATCCTGCATACTTGCAGTATACCTAGAATAAAAAAAAAAAATGTGACGCCAACTATAAGAGAATTTTGTTAGTCGCCAGTTACGTGTGTTACAACGCGGTTTAGTTGAGGCACTCGCATCCGTTTCTGTGGTGTAGTTGGCTATCACATCCGCCTAACACGCGGAAGGTCCCCGGTTCAAGCCCGGGCGGAAACAATTTTTTTTTTTTATTTAAATAATTTTTTCGTTTCCCACGATGCTCTAATGAATTATTTATTTATAATTAATTATATTATAACTGTGTAAAACAGTATTTTGTAATACAAACGAACGTATACACCCACTCTAACCACCCTCCCCCCCACCTGTATCCGTTTCTCCCACCCGAGTGCATGTGAGAGCTGTATCTCGTCGTTCATAATGCGAGACCGAATAAAGAATAGTACAAACTATTACTGACATAATATATGATTAAATACTATTCGTAAATCAAATCCAATTTCATCGAGAGTTCGCCCTTGACTTTACTATATCTTCAATTTTATCACCAGTTGAAATTTCACATCGTAAACACTAAATGGTCCAATAAAAACGATATATCAATAAAAAAATACTCACCCAGAATCAGTCTGCTTGGTGTACAAAGGATGAGTAGAAGTGTTGAGAGGTGGAGGTGGTGGGCTCTCCCTGTAGCCGCTGTCTTCAGGGAGTGCAGGCCTGACAGGTGGCTGTACTTCATCGCCCTGGGTCTCATTCCCATTCTGTCCCCTAGGTAGAGAATCCCCCGAGTACTGTCCATTGGGATATCCACCCACATACATTCCCCTCTGCTCGAATTCCCTCTGATCGACCCCATGGCCCTGGGCAGCTGCCAACCTGGCAGGATCACCCTTCTTCGGCACAACTGCATACTGACTCTGCAATTGTTTATTGTTAAACTGTCCGTACTGATTGTACCCGTACTGTCCATAATTATAAGTCGGTGAAGTAGCAAGATTGGGGGTAGAGCCAACAGGAGGTCTTGCCGGCCTGATTCCAGCGGGTGGTATTGCCCTGGCGTTATAATTCCCCCTGTACTGATTAACCTGAGGATTTCCACCTCTGAGTTCTCTCCTCCTGACCTCCTCCTGCATCTCCTGGAGCTTCGCCTCCTGGCGGATTATGTCCCTGGATGACTGAGACCTCGGTTGCTGCATCTGCTGCTGAATCTGTCCAGGATACGCCTGCGCCTGGGGAATATATGCAGATATTGGGCGGTCTCGAGGGATTTGAACATCTGGACGATTCAGGCTGTTCTGGGAGCCCCGTAAAGTCTTCTGGAGTGATCTGTCCTCTGGTTGCGGTGGACTTGGCTGTTGCTTGACAACGGCGTCCTGGTGCCTGTAGACACTCAGATTCTGGTAGAAACGCTCGGCCTCGTTGCTCACCTGGTGTGGATGGAGATTCGGTGACGATTGCTGTCTGCTGACGAGACCTGATGGAGGAAGGGTGCCTGATCGCAGGGGATCGTGCAGATTGTGACTGGAACTGCAGAAGCAATCGGTTACATCGACTCGTCGAAATTATTTTACCAAATTAATCGTTTAACCAGCGTTTTCCAACAATAATTGTTGTTAATTGCTGTTATTAATTACCGTGATCGCAGGGATGTTGCTCCATTCATCGCTGGCATGGGGGGAGGCTGAACCGGTGGTGTTACACTGTTACTTGATGATGCTCTGCTGTATCCTGGATTGAAAACTTCGTGCTGCTGTTTACCCTCGATTGTTCCTACGTCTACAATTGTTTTGGGTTAAAGGATGATTGATCGTAGGGGCTCTAGGGCTGGGGTTGTTAGGGGAAATACTGGACAATAACGTGGTGACAGTAGAAATTTTTGTGCTCAAGCGATTTAGCGGCGACAAATTGATGACAACAATTTCAACACAGGCTTTCTGAGTGTCTGCAATATTACAGGAAAATTCTATCCCTTTTTTTATAAAAATTTAATTAATACTGTATTCGCCGCTTTGTGTTGAATTTGTTGTGTAATACGATAGAAGACGATAAGCCACTAATATATTTACTTACTGTGAAGTGCCGGCACCGATTTGCTGCTGTGAATTTGATGGTGCGTCGTCTCATGTCCAATTCGCGATGGCAGATCGCGTTCACTCATGCGACGAGGTCCTATTATCGTATGATGCAGAAAATAATTCTGTAATGCTTGAGTCTCATGCAAACATATCTCTAATTCATGCACATTGTGATAAATAAATATGCAATTGATAAAAAATTCATGCAAAACGATTACCACGGTGTTACGGTTTAAAATATGATCGATAACCGATAAAAAATTGATGAATGAATGGATGGGGATGATAAGTAAGACTCATCGTCAATAATTCACGTAAATAAACAACATAACCAGGCACATGTGCTACGAGTAAATATCGAGCTTACGATTGCCATCGATTTCCAACGAGGGAAAGTCACGAAATACCCAATCGCCCCTCTCGAATCTCGGAGTTGGTTTCCTCTCAGAAATATCCAAATCACTTTTTGATTTCTTTCTCATTATCATGAGGGATTTTTTCCTGATCGGTTTCGATTCCCTCAATCGAGTGTGGCATTCCACATTTCCCTTATCCAAGATTTTCCTCTGCCCAAGGGAGACTCTTGCCAATTTTCTCCGGAATTCCTCATTCAATTTCCACTGGTTCTCCCCCATTTTCAGGGATTCGCCGAGATTCTCCAACGATTTACTCCCCTCCATTCTCATTTCTTTCTCTTCAGTCGTCAGGAGTCTGTCCTCACTCCTGGATTTCACCCTCGTCCTCAGGAAAGACTCGGGGAATTTCGTTTTTCTCGGACCCTCTGATAAAAAATTTACTGGACTCGAGCCGCATTCCCTCGTTCCCACATTTTCACTCCCTCTTTCATCATCATTGATAAATATTTTACTTTCTATTGTGACATTATCGGTGTTAATCGATTCAACACGAAAATTTTCCTCGTGAAATATCACTGGATCAGACGTGACTCGCGATGTTTTAACGTTAGTGGAAATTAAATCCTTGAGTGACCAGTACTTCTCGAGTTTATTCACCTTATCAATGTCGGAATTGATCTTTATTGTGCTGGATATTGAGGGTGAGGTCCTCTCCAAATTATCAAGACTCATGCTTCCTTTGATTGAAGTATTCTGACCTTGCGAGTCCATTACCGTCAGCGAAGTCGACGAATTAATTCCTGAGATATTAATTCCCTTTGAGCTAATCCCCGTGGCGTGAATTCCCTTTGAACTAATCCCCGACGATTTAAATCCCTGGCAATTTGGAATGTAAAGTGGTGCATGGATATTATCAAGATTCGAAAATTCCTGGAGCTGTTTTATAATCTCCTGTTGCTCAGCAACCGATAGTTTCTCATCGCTCTTCTTCAATTCCTGAATTTCCCTTTTAATGAATTCCTCTCGCTCTTCACTCTTGGTCTGAATATCCAGCAGGATCATACTCCACTCCCTCTCAGGTGTTGTTGCAACATTTTTATCAACTCTCGACAAATCAGTCTCGGATTTACTTAAATCCCCGGTTGTCCTGACACAACCGAAGCCTCGCGGTGACGCCATATCGGGCTCTGAGACAAATTGCCTCGATGAACCGAGTTTTATCGACTTGAATTTTATTAAACCAGCGTCACCAAGACCTGAAAAGTGTTTAGCTAGAGCAGCAACTCTGCCACAGCCGAGTCGTATCTCCTCAGGTGATTTCCAGCATTTTTCTGGGCTCGAGTCAGCGCTCGATGGATCACTATTTAAACCAGTGAGATCTAAATTTAATTCCGGCATTATCGGATGCATTCGCAGTTGTGACGAATTGCTCTGGGGATTTCCGCCAGTTTTCGAGAGGAATTCCCCATTTTTGTCATTTGGAATTTCCAAATTATCAGCGTCTTGAAGAGCTTTCAATTTTTTCAATTTTTCATCGCATTTGTGCTTCTGACAGCAGCAGTTTGATGCATTTGGTTTGTGAATTGAATGATGAGCTTTTGATTCGTCTTCGGGGGAGCTTTGGGGGTCGTCCGATGTCTCGTCAAATTGATCAATGAAGGGAATTGACTCGGCGATACCAAGGAAAGCCTCGGAGTCGTGTGATTTATCGCAGGTAAATGTCATTGTTGGAAATGTGAGATCAGTCTTGTCTTCACTGTAGAAATTACATCTCGCTTCTGGGGTGTTTGATGGTACATTTGGTTGTGGTGGTGGTGGATACGGTGGATATCGATCGAGATGGCTCGGAATAGTTAGGAACATTTGGGGCTCTTGGATTATTGGTATTGGTCGTTTATTGGTCCATTGGGCTCTTGGCCATGTGCACTCCTCGTCCATTGGGGACTCGTCGATTGGGTATATGTTAAGACACGAATTGTGAATGTTTTGACGGTTAAGAGTCTTGTTCGGAAGACCTAGACCAGGGGATTTTTGTTAGTTCACTGCGCTCGGGGTGTTAGTTATTCATTCATCCCAGAAACTATTTCTTCTTTTTTTATTTCTCAAAAATCTCAGAATCTAAGGCACATATTGAAATTACCGTCTCTACCTTTTTTGAGGAATTCATTGAGAGCTACAAAAAAGGTTATTAGACAATTTTCGTTATCTCAATTAATTCCAGAGATATTCATGAGAAAAGTGTAATTTGTTGGTCATTAATGATTAGCTCGCGACAGTTCGATTTTTAATTGAATCGTTAGAGTGGAGAGGGTGGAAAATTGCGGGGAACGCGTTATCTGGGATGAATTAACGCAAACCATTGGTTAGATTTATGAAAATAATTCGCACCTGGTTGGGGCCTTTCGGGCCCAGTGTCCCAATCCACCAGACGCTCTTGATAGTGATCTGTTAGCATTGGAGTGGATAAAAGATTGCCCACTGAATAGGATGTTGATGGTTGGGCTGTGTCTCCCAAGCGTGGATGATCTAACTGTTCAGACTTTGGACGAGCCTTATGCGCTGCATTGATTTTTGTTAAATTTAAGCATTAGTTCAAGCGTCAATGCACCATTGCATTGTTTATTATTGTTAAACGGGGTATTTGTGAACGATGACGAAAGCAAAAGTCTTGGGGTGGGAGTTATTAATAGACTTGTCACCAGAGTTTCGAGGGCTTTTGGGTTTTTACTTACCTCGAGTCATTACAGGAGATGGCTGTGACAGTAATGTAGCAAGTCCATGATATATTGCACCCTGTTTAGCCACTTCGAGAGTTACTATTGGTCCCGTACGTACTAAATATTCAGCAGCCCTGGAAATTTAATATTCGTAACGATTTACAACAGGTATTGACGAAACAATAAAAAACCACAACGCCAATTCATGGGATTGCTCAATTTTTGAGGAATCACTCTGAATCTAACGGAGATAGCGGAATTTTTGTGGAAAACTTTTTGTGGAGCGGAATGAGAGCCACAAAAAAGGTCGTTACAAAAATTGGGCTATCTCTGTTGAATTCAGAGATATTCGTCGAAAATATGACGCAACTTAACGATTTTACTTTTCTTTTATAATTATATTGTTAATTATATAAAGTGGATAATTTTGGAGTTTGAATAAAAGTTAACTCACTTTTCCTGAGTTATTCCCACGAGGCTCTGGCCATCAACCTTCAGCAGTTGATCACCAGCTGTTAATCGACCGTCCTAAAAAGAAACAGGAGAGTATAAAAAAATTGTCATCAAGATTCGTGGGAGAATTTTAGAGAGATATTTAAAAGAGCTCACAGCGTCAGCAGCTCCTCCAGCTACAACACTCTTTATATAAATGCCCAGACGATCCTGCCCGGCACCCTGAAAGAAACAAAGACTCCTGAGGGATACATATATACAAAAACAGAAATAAACGTGAGTAACGGGATAACGAGAAGAATAACGGCCGTAATATACATGAGGAGTAAAAAAAGAAAAAAAAAAATAGAAAGACGGAAATCCGCATTTAAACTCAATCCCTCTAGCGTGACAGGCGTGGCGCACGGGCCGCTGGTCACATGTGGGAAAATCCCGAGATTCCAACTGCATCTTTATATTTGTTGTAACCGCGAGGAGAGAATCGTCGAAAGAAATAATTTCAATCCAAAGTCATAAATGTTTCAATTAAAAATTCCAATAGTTCAATATAAACTAAGCAATGTCCTACCTTAGCAGCAACGATGCTGAGTCCCATACCATTAGTAGATTTGTGAAGTTTGATTATTTGAATTTCTGGTTGACTGTGACTACCAGAGTGTCCACCAGAGAATCCCCCTGACCGATTGCTCATTGCACTGGGACTCCTGAAATTGCTGTGATGATCGATCATATAAATAGTCCAGTATCCACTGCTGGTGGGTTGTGGTGCCATTCTGCAGAGACCATCCCTCTGAAGAGGTGTGAGAAATTCAGCGAGGCCAGGTGGTACACCACGTATCACCTCACAGCTGTAGCCATCCTCAGGCAGAAGAAGTGCCAACGCGAGATTGGGATCCTCTTCCAGCCTGATCTCCCTACCATCAGCCCTGGCAAGTGCATCAGCCACACTCTCAGCAATTCTCACGACATTCTCAATGAGCTCTGGTGGTAGTCTAGGCTCATCAGCAGCTGGCTGATACTTCTGGAGAAGTGCCCTCACCTGCAGTGAATTCAATTTGAAACAAGTTGAGCTCAGGGTGGCGAGCTCCTCTGCATTGTACTTGGGTGCCTGTAATAGATGAGTTGCCTGCATTATCGTAGCAAGATGACACTGACTCGCAAGCTCAAGTCCCTGCCTCTCGGCCCACGTTTCCAGGGCATTTAATCGGCTTTTCAAACGCCTGCCAAACCACCTGACGCACAGATTGCCGTTTGAAACGAGAGCATTGAAGGCTGTGGCGTTTATCGTGTGGAATAAATGGCTGAACAGTTGAATAGTCAAAGCGGCATTGACACGACACCTGCGAAGAAGGGCCATTGTGTTTGAAAATATTTGCAAAACACTCGACTCCTTCGATGGCTCGTCAGCATCAGCCATGAATTGGGACATGGCTGGTGCCAATTCGAGGGAGACACAGCGAACTAGTGAGGCAAATGCTGTCTGCACTGACTCTGCTAGAATGTCCTGGGCTCTCGTGGAGAATGCACCCACGTGTCGATCACTCTTCAACATGTGGAGAAGCTCAGAACCATTCGCCAGCCACAGGGCGAGGGACGAGGCGTCCATGTAACGCTCCAGAATTACTCGTTGAATCATTGTTGCAACATTAGCAAGCATCACTGTTAAACGATGCGCTCTCTCCGTTGGTTGTAGCTCGGGACGATAATGCGTACTTGCTCTGTAACGAGCTGCTAGGTACAGGGTGTACGTTGGTGCGAGTTTGAATTGAGGTGCTGATGGCTCCACGTCGGTTATCACTGCGTGGAGGAAGGCCTCTTCTGTCTCCTCAAGAAATTCGAGAACAGCTGGGAGAATTGGATCTGTACCACGGGGCTGGCGATCGTATTGCTGGGATAATCTGGAGATAATCATTATTTTTTCTTTATTGTTTGGGTTTCCTCCGTATTTTTTTGCTTTCCTTTTTTGGAAAATTGAGATTTTGTCGAATTGTAATCGGCGAATGATACGCGATTCGTGATTTTTGATTCGTAATTTGAGTAAATGAGTGTTTTTGTCTGGATTCAGTTGTGGGGTCGCAGATGTGAAGGGGAAATTGTCTATCATGGGTTATACTTACCAATTTATGAAGATTAAATGGTTATTAATAATTTAAATATTGTAGTGGACTAGATTAACGCACCTGTTGCTATCTCTACTGCTGGTCAAACTGGCAGTCTCTACATTTCCATCTAAATCGAATGTTGTTTCGTAATTGTGTGTATTCTCAATGGGATGTGCATTTGTGGGACTCCGGGGATTAGCAGCTGATGATTTTGTGGGGCTCGGTGGATTTGAATCTGGACCATCGTTTGGTGTTCCTGAGCCAGATCTGTATTTCTCGGAATTCACGTCCTGGCTGTTTCTGTCTGGCGAGCGTCTACATGGTTTTTGCGACAGGGATATGGAGCGAATTGAAATTATATTGTAATAACGTGCGAAATTAATAAAAAAAAGGTGGAGGCTGATGATGAATGAAGGAATTGTGCGGAAATTTATGAGTAAAAATTTTTGGGGTTTACCTGTCGTAGACGTAGTCCATTTGTCTGCTTGGCTCCTGGCGATGTCTAATTCGATCCTCTGGTGTTGGATCGATGAACCGAAAGGTGTGCATTCGACCGAATTTTATGATGGCACCATTCTTCAAAGGTAATTCAAAGGTCATTGGTGGGTAATTATAAATAACGTGAGACTTAAGAAATATCGATCAGGTGGGCGGATGTATTTTCGGGGGGGAAATATTTCGGAATGCGAGGGAGATGCCAAATTTTTGTAAGAAACTTTTTTGTAGATCTCATTTACCTCTAGAAAAGAGGTCCTGATAAAAATTTCGCTATCTCTCGTTAATTCGGAGATATACCGCAGAATTTCGACTAAGAAAGAATGAGACTTGTCACTTTTTTACTCTTCGGTACGGAAGTTGGCGGAAAATATCACGGAATCTGAGAGAGATAGAGAAATTTTTATAGAAACCTTTTTTGTAGGTCTAATTGAACTCAATAAAAAAGGTCCTGACGAAAATGTCGCTATCTCGGGGGAATTTAGAGAAATTCGTTAATATTGAAATGGAGATGGACTTTGAATGGCAGATGTTGAAGTGATTTAGTTTGTGATGATTTTTACCTGCAGAATAGTGGTCTGATGTATCCTCTGATTATTAACATAAGTGTGTGCATCCCTGGAGCAGGGCGTAAGCGTAACGATATTCTCGGTGAAGGCAATGACACAGTGTCTGGGCATGACAGTTGGACCAGTCAATGTGAGAGTTTGCGCTTGTACAGCTTGAGGACCGATCGGTCTCTCCGATCCAACTTCAGTGACATTTGGCTGGAGACGATGCTTAACGCCAGCTCCACTCGGAATATCAGTGCCATCGGGATTGAGCTCCAGAAGAAATGGCAATCTCTCGTCCTCGTATCTATGATCAAATTCACTCCATTTACCAGCTGGTTTCTTCTTCCTTTTCCTGGGTACGTAGTCAGCTGGCCTTCTCCTCACGTGGAACATTATCGAGCCTGAAACATCATCAAACCAACGCAACTCCATTAATTCACATAATTCGTTATTTACTTTACAAATCCCAAAAGATTTATTACTATCAAAATATCAATTCGGATGAGAACTCCCTTTTCCGGGATTATCTCGGAATCAAAGGGAGATATCAAAATTTTTGTAAAAACATTTTTCACGGAGATGATCGAGGACTAGAAAAAAGGTCGTATGATATTAACTCGGGGAATTGATAGTTTTTGAGATAATCGGAGTTTGAAATGATGAAATTGTTTTTTCGCGTTTATGTTTTGTAATTCATTGATATTTAGATGTCTCGGATATTTATGTGTGTGCAGTCTAAAAATCACACGTGAATGAGTGTTCATGATTATTTTCCAATGAAAGAACACATGAAATGTAAAACCCTTGGTCATCAATATCTTGAACTCGTAGCCGGAAAAAATTATCGGATGCGCTCCCATAATCGTTCTAACTGTCCATTGCACAATTGAGGGGCTTTGTCGTCGATCCGGGTAACTACATTCGACAATAGCAATCATTGTAACTCGCCCCTTGAGGGCAAAACCCAAAGGCTCAATAAACTCATGAAATTATGGACGAGGTAATTTTTATTTCAATTACAGTCGCGATGGGAGATAAAACGGAATTAACGTTTTTATAATTGACCGTTTGTCTCGATAACTACCGATTTCAGAGTGAAGTGATAAGGAACTTTTTTTAAGGTAATTCCATTTTCAAGATAAAAAGTATTTTCACATTTCCTCGTAAACGCAATAGTTTTTACTTAAATCGATAGTTCAACCGACATAGAAAATTTCACTTATGCTACTTCACCGTTTTGTTAGTGAGTTGTTCTAAATTGTTTATCGCGATAACTATTGATTTTCGAGGAAAGGGGCAGAGGATTTGTTTGTAGCTGATGAAATTTTCTAAAAAAAAGTTCTCGATACATTTTCTCGTAGCATCGATAGATTGATCGATATTTAATGGAATTGGAAAATTTGAGTATTACCCCACGTGTTGATGTCTCTCCAGCCCATATTGTAAGCAGCAATTATTTCTCGTGTTAAATTCGAGTTTCTCGGATTGATTTTTCAACGCAACTGAGACGTTCGGGAGAAAAGAAGTCGACGGAACTGCAGATTCTCGACTAAAAATACCCCGGTGGAAGGAAAGAGTTGCATTCTTTCTGCAAATCTCGTAGATGTTTCGCTCTGAGGAAATGAGGATATCCTAGGCAATGTTTTCTGGGATGGGGCTGTTTATCTCAATCGAGAGGATACGCTTCGGATCTTGATCACAATTTCAGAAATTTGCACGTGAATTTTCTCGAAGAACCACTTGCAATTCTATAAAACTGACACAGTAAAATAAATCGAAATTTCCACTGCTTTTAAATATCGATTATCTCAAGAACTATCGATTTCCGGTGAAACTACCAAAGAACTTTTCTCTAGCTAATTAATTTTCCGAGAAAAAATGTCTTTTCATGTTTTTTCCGAAAATCCATAACTATTCTATTAATGAGTAATTAACAAAAATTGTACATTTTACAAAACTAAAAGAAGTGAAATTTTCAACTTCTATTAACTACTGATTATCTCAAAAACTATAAATTTTCTGAAAAAACACAATAAGACCTTTTTTCTCGCAAAACGAATGATCTCCAAAAAAGTCCTCTACCATTTCTCCCGTAGATCGATAGTTCTCCCACTACTCCCCGGATAAATTGATAAGCAGAAATAAATATTGAATTGAACTCGTCCCACTTGTTCCCAAAATGTTCAACAGTTTACGTCATTCACTGGAGAACAGTAGAACAACAAGTAAAATATGTTAGTCAGTTTGAATTGGCGGATACACCTCCACTGAAACTTTGAGTAATTGTATTTACACCCTCCTGTCTCATCCAACGCGTCCACTAAACTTGCAGAACTTGAATTCAAGACTGAGGAATAATCAAATTCAATGAAATAATATGGGAGTAGTTGACTCCTTCGATGGTTTAGTTGAAGGCGACTGAGACCCTTGGGAAGGTGCATACACCCATATCAAAGAGGAATTCTGGCGAGCAGTTGCTCTAGCGTGACGTTCAAGGCATTTGCTGGGACTGGTGTCAGGTACTGGGGATTTCCAGAGTGTCTTTATGCTTGAGGGCCCAAAGACATCTCCAAAGGGCTCGATAAATTTTTTTTCTGGATGAATTTTCATTCAGTCTTCACCAGAGAACCCAACGAGTAATTATTTTCTCATCATTCCCATCAAGATCTCCACGAAGGTACAACTGATACGAATTAATATCAACTGATATCGAATGATTTAGTCATTTGCAAGCGGAATGAATCGTGGTATCAGCTGAGATTATCATCGCGTATGAAAGCCATTGGGGAAAAATAGTGACCAGGGGTGATATACTCTGGACTGGTCGATAAATTCACCTTATGGGGTCTAGGACACACCAGCGACTTCAAATCATTCATTGAAAAACATTATGCGACTGTTACTAGGAATTCTCATGACGCATGAAGAGTTGCGAACAAAAAGTCAATTGGACTTTTGTCATTTAGAGAATCTCCCTAGCGTGGATGCGGCTTGACATTCATAAAGTGCAGATGTATTCCACCCAGTGGTTCTGAAAAGTTTTCCAACTACGTTTATATCTTATTCCCCATTGTCATTTCCTACGCAATTCCTATTGTTTATAAATGTCCATTGGGAAAAAAATGTGGAGCACGTTTCTATGGGTTGATGATTGATCCGGAATTGTCGGGTGAAATTTACTCGAGGTAACTACTTTGTCATTATGAAGAGTAGAATGTGATATTGATCTTGGAATTTTTTCATATATTATTGAATAAGATTATTCGCGTGTCGCTGTCTCCCACATTGGACTCTATATTTATGATTATTTAATGTGGGAATTTTATTTCAGGACTTTTTTGTTACTTATGTCGGTGTAATTCGTTGGAAAAACTCGCGAGATAACGTCAGTGATTGACAACCGAGTTGGCAATTTGAAAAATTTCAGATTTAGGGAAATGATTTCGGATTTATTTCTAGTTTTTAAGGGGATTATTTTGTTGGAAATTATTTTATTTCTTCGAAAAATTCGAATTTGCTGAAAAATTCCGATTAATGGTAAAAATTCTAATTTTCCAATTGTAAATTGACGATTTAATTCCAGTTTAATTGATTATGACTGAATTTGAATTTTATTTGAATGAATATATTGAGTTATTGTAAATTATTATAAAATAAATAAATTGGGAATGATTGAATTTTTTTTTTAGGCACTGAGAATTTTGTTGAATTTCCGGTGATTAGTAATAATTAAAAAATTGAATAATTGGATGATTTCGCAATTTTTTTGGATTAATGACGTGCGCGGGGAATTTGAATTAATGGCGGATATTAGTCTGGATAAATTGGTATTTGTTTCAAGTACTCAATTGAAATTCATGATGATTCAAAAGGGAGGAAGTTGGTAGTAGGTGAATAGAGGGTCAGCGCACTGAAGTCATTGTACTTAACCCGTCGGCTTTTCCTCTTTGCAATTCTCAACGGCTAAAGAACTTTTCACGCAATTTACACGCATCGGGGGAAGGATACATTGCTGACGTTTACGTGCACCACAGTGTGTGAGAAAAATTGTAATGACCTGGGGTTATTAGATGCCGTCGAGGGGAAATGAGGAAAAGTTAATTAATTGAGGAGGAAATACGTGCCATTATATTCCCAGTTCATTACAATATTTTACGCGACAAGTTTTATATTCAATTATTCCGTTTTTATTACGCGAATCGATTTTTTTCTTCATTTGTAACGGAGAGTAATTAAACAGATAAAAGTACTGACGAAATATTATAATAATTGAAATTTCATTAAATTTCACGGGAAATAGATGAAATTGCAATAACTTGAAATTTTTTTTGAGTGAAATTGATCGATTTTGTTTTTTGATTGGGAGGGAAATTTTGACAGGCGATCGTTGCAATTGAATTGTTGGGGTTGGTAATATGAAGGTGGTAATTTATGAAATAATTAGTAGGGACTGTTCATTTGCTTTCACTCCTTGACTTGTCGGATTTGATGGGTAAGAAAGATAATGAATGAAAGAAATCAATGACACCTGTCACTGGTTAACACGTGGAATAGTCTGGTTGCCACATTTGTGGCAATCATTCGAGACGACCTATATTCTCAGTTACCCTTGCGTGATGTATAGCAAGACAATTGTCACGCACGTCAATGATATAGAGTTGTTTCAGTGATTGGGCCAGTCGTGTATTTTTTTTTTTTACAGCCATTTCATTCTCAAGTACTGGATTAATCAATTGGCCAGAGGCTATATTTCCTGTTGCGTTTCGGTCATGTTGACAATTGGCTATCGATTTGCTATCATATTTATTTAATGGTTTATTTGTTAACGCCCGGAGAGAAATTTCACACTATTTCTCGGTTAATTGCTTTCGTCGAAATGTATTTTTAGCATTCGGTGCACAGAGTAATTAACAATTGAAACGCGGAAAAATTGGAGTTTATTTGTCATGAAACAATTTATTTGATTAATTGTCTTTTGAATTTTATTTGGAAATGTGTAATTGGATTTTTATTGAATGGAAGAAAATAAAAATAAATTCTGGGAATTGATTGAATATTTTTATGGGGAGACGACGAATTTTATGGGGATAAATTGAAATTTTATCGACGGTTCAATAACAAAATATCATCGGAATAATGGAATTACTGTACAGTGGGTGGATTTCAATGGTAAAAATTCAGTGGCTTTGAAGTATAAAAGGAGAATTGAACTGTATGAACTAACCAACAGTTGTAATTCGTCATTGAACTCTTGTTGAAGTTCCCGAATTAAATGAAAATAATTCCCATGAGGAATTGAATATTTCATTGCACAAAACTCAAGTGAAACAAGCGTGTGCGTTCGACTGAAAGACCGCTTCTAGGTCACACGATAACAAAGAGAAAGCACAATGGAAATATT